CCCCTCCCTGCCTTGACAGAGAAGACAGCTGCGAAAAAGGAATTTCAAACGCGACACAATGGTATAAATCCAGCAGACATCCATCAAATTATTTGGAACGCAATGAAGCACAAAGGTCACAGACCAGGGAAACCAGTAGAGCTTGTTGCGAAGAGCGGTATTTACTATTTAGTATTTACACATGCACAGTGGTCCACACATGTTAGAAGATACAGCAGCTGAGTCTTTTCTCCCAATTCTCAGCAATCCAAACATTTCGTAGCCGGAAGAGAAAAGTTGCTGTGGCCAACCGCGCTTCTGCAGCCGTATCCGTCGTCCGTACATTTCCAAACATGTAGACACCCGGAACTGCCCGATATGTGCGCACGTGGTTAATACGTGGTGTGATTTTCACTGAACTTTTCACCGAAACTGCCATATTGCCTTGATTGTTTGCTTTTTTCTTGATTTCTTTTTTTTTTCATGTGATATGTATATGCTTTAGGGCAAGTTTAAGGTATATCATGTATTCAGTTTGGACAGAGCGTAGAGATAAACGACATGATAGTCTGGCCCAGTGGGGCTTGACCCTTTACACTACATTTGCCTCATGAGGATATATAATACACATGCCACACACAGAGATATCTTAAATCACTGCCACATCTGAACCAGAGTACAGCCCAACCAAATGTTTCTCTTAGCCAATTCGCTCCAAGCTTGGAAAGAGGGGGCGGGCGGGGGAGAGCATCGGTTCATTTCCTTCCCTGACATACCAGTTCTGAGAACTGCAGACCATTCATTGTTTAGAGACCGGCCATGACCGGGCCTCTTTCTGCCCCTCCGTCAAGCCCGTTTGGCTCCCCCTGTAGGCAGTGACTTGAACTTTGCATAAGAAAAGGGGGCCCGGCAGATGGAGTAGCGAGCGCGTCGCGAAAACCTTGCTCTCATGCCTTGGGGAACTTTTGTCTGCCCTGGATTCATATTTCGCTAAAGAACTGGAGTGAAGTGAATGTATGCCATGCTTCTTTTTTTATTTTTTGGTGCGTTGTGGGGGGAAGAGGGGGGGGGGGGAGTATAAATGGAAAGGAAGCACACCAGCAAACTCAACTCTGCACATGTGGTAAGTACTACAGAAAACAAGGCAAAATAATGGAATATATATATATATATCGTCACAAACAGAACTGCCCGGTAAACCGTAGGCAGAGAGAGAGAAGAGGACAACAAACGAGGGGCTGTGACAAACTGTTTCGTCGGAGTTTCACCGACTCATCAGGAGGCTGAACCCTCAACAGNCCGGTAAACCGTAGGCAGAGAGAGAGAAGAGGACAACAAACGAGGGGCTGTGACAAACTGTTTCGTCGGAGTTTCACCGACTCATATATATATATTGTCGCAGAACTATTGACTAAGAGCATGAGCACGTGAAGTAGAAGAAGAATATATCATATATATCGTCACAAATAGAACTGCCAGGTAAACCGTAGGCAGAGAGAGAGAAGAGGACAACAAACGAGGGGCTGTGACAAACTATATATCGTCATATATATATTATATATAGGGTCAAAGTAGCAAACATCCCTTTAAGCTCCCACATATATCGTCTAAATGCATTGGCCTTTTAATTTAGTAAAATAAAATATTAAAAATTACACTTACATCTCATCTCTGGATGCTTGTGAAACAAAGCATCCTCTGCAAATGTGACCTCTTCATCTCCAACCTTAGCAAGCTGAATCAAAGCAACCACAGGAGGAGGAACGAGGAACAAGTTTTAAGTTTTGGAAATACCCAAACATGGACCCCTTCTCTCTTAGCCCAGCACTCACAATTCCTTCCCCCCCCCCCTCCTCCCTCCCCCTCGCCCGCCTGATCTCTCTCCTGGGAAAAAAAAACTCAAATGAATTTACATTTTCTTAAGCCAGCACCACCACCTCCTCCCCCCATCTCTTGCCCAGAACAAAAAAAGGTTTACAAAACTCAAACGAACGTACACTCACCCGAGTCACAACACATGGGGAATCTTCACAGATCCTTCAGATATCAAGCCCAACCCAACATTCTGTGTCAATCTGTGGTCATGAGTTAAAGTGCTTTCACAAAACATTTGTGTGGAGGTTTGGTCCATTGGGTGCGTGGGTGGATGGATTTGAGAGCAGGCTGGGATCTGACTGCTTTTCCATTTTAGGATGTTCTTTCACACACTTCCAAGATGCTTGTTCGAGTTCACTATTGTTTTACGAGATGAACCTGGTCATGTTATGGAAAATCGAGGCATCGTTCGGAATTGCTCAACCCCCCAGACAATAGATAACGCACGATCGTTCGTACGCTGTGCCTCTACCGATGTTATTTTACATCCCACAGCTAAGTCTTTTTCCATCATCTCCACACTCCCTGGAAATTGCACCACACTGCTACCCTCCCACAATAAAAACGGTTTTGTGCTTTTCTATTTATTAAAAAAATACAAAGAAAGGATAATAAAGTTAAATAAACCTCCCATATACGAGGCATCGAAGGCAGTCATGGATAATATTGACAGTACATGGCTTGCTGTCACGGTAAACCATCGACCAGCAGTAACAACTGATGGTTCAGGCAAAAAAGGCTCAGAGGCCGTGTCCCCCCGAATAGAACGCACGGTCATTATGCCTGTATCGGGGGCAACTTGCAGTCCACAGCCATCGATAATGACCCTATGTTCTATTTGGTACTTTCTACTCGGGGGAAGATGGCAGTGTGGATTTCAACCACCACCAAATCTGCTGCGCGCCGACACCATTTTCCTAAAAGAACTCTTATTCATCTGTTTTTTCTCCGTAGAACTTTACAAAAATCCAAAACCAACCCAAAAAACAGAAGTTTTGAATGATGCAGTGACAGACGTATAGGCGGGGGGGTCACTGAAACACTGGGCAGCAGGCAAGCGGGCATAATCCTGGGTAAAGGATGGAGCCCAGTTCCCAGTCGACTTGGTAATACCACCTCCGTCTTCCCCAAAAAAATGGTCATAGATCGGAAGAACCCATGATCCTGAAAGATACAAAAGTCGTCTTTTGACCTGATACCGCCAACCGCCGATCGTTTTGCAGCCTACCAGTAGGGGCGACCAGTCTCTAGGGGGCTATTGACTGATGTTTTTTTCAATTTGAGTTCGGGGCTGTATTGCGCTCGCTGAGTAAAGCCCCGAATACAGCCTAAACCACTGAGAAACTTTGGGGATTCTGTTTTTTTTGGGGGGGGGTTATGGGGGGGAAGGGTAGTGATATACGGGGATACGGAACGGGAGGT